AGACAAACCATGTGTAAGTTCATAAGTCGACAGCATTGCTGAGTATTTTCTGCTTAAAACTGCAGTGAACCAAAGACAGTCTCAAAAACACGGTTTGAAATCGCTGGTGTTTCTGACGTCACAAACGACCTTGTAACCAATCAGATCAACGTGTGATCGTCAACCAGTGGATCTCTGAGCTGAGTGAGTGGAGGCGGGGCTCATTTGCATATTCATAGCACCGTGCATACTAAATGAGGTGAGGGTGTCGAGTTACATTCAAGATATTTTAAAGGTGACCTATAATTCAAAATTGAATTTACCTTGGTATAGTCAAATAACAAGAGTTCAGTGCATGGACATGACATAGAGTGAATCTCAAACTGGACTGTTTTCGCGTTCTCATTTAATTCACGTTTATGAAAAACACCCCTGAAAAACGGTCGGTTCTCCACATAACACCGACTGTGACGCAATAGTCGGGATCATTAATATGTACGCCTCCAAATATTTGCATAATGCCAGCCCTCAATGCCAGGCGGAACTGCGCAGACGTAGCATGGCAGTTGCTCAGTGTGGATGTACACATGAACACAAAAGTATTTTTTAGTTCCTTCATCTGAGCCTCTGAAGAAACAATGGGTTCATTTTATTTTCTCTGGAAATTTCCAAACATTTCACCGAGTGTTTCCTCAACTTGGGCCAATACAGAGCTGGCCTCGGATCGAGCTACCAAGCAACACTTTCTGATGTGTAATTGTTCAAGTTCAGACAGGTAATCTTTCTCTCAAAATCGTTCAATACTGTTTATGCATCAGTAAGTCAAGCCAGTGACTAAAATATCAGCTTCACATCGTTTCTTTTAGTAGGATGAAAATAATCGTATTTAAATTGTGAACAAATTATATACAGAAAGCGATCAAAGAACAATCTTTCCACACCGCGCGAGTTTATCTGGACACTTGCCAAACTCGTTATGAAATCAATGACGCACGTTACTGCACAACGAAGCTCTTACTGTATTTACATCATCGTGTTTGCATTGGGGAAAGCCTTAGAGAGAGTGCAGAAACTGCTTTGCAATGATAAGATCTTCATTCTCGCGATCAACACACAGTCCTCTGCTCAATGCTCATCACGGCAACATTGTATGTGATGGGAATAGATCTAAATAATTTAAAAACATCTCACGATTCGTTAATCTCGATAGCTGTTATAGTAAAAACGTATAATAGCAGTAGTAAAAGTATTCGGGAGAGAGTTTCACATGTAATGCGTACTAGCTATTTTTATATGCAAGCATGTCAGCCAATCACAGCAGTGGCCGCGGTTACACTGAATCCCACAGCCAATCACAGCAGTGGCCGCGGTTACACTGAATCCCACAGCCAATCACAGCAGTGGCCGCGGTTACACTGAATCCCACAGCCAATCACAGCAGTGGGCGGTTACACTGAATCCCACAGCAGACACGCCCCTTCAAACAGAGTGTTCAAATCAGAGGCTAAAATCAGGCTAGGAAAAATGCCATTTATTTCTAAATTATGATTATTTTTTATCTAAAAAACATACTAACATTATAAAGGTAACCCAGGAAACATTATAAAATAATTAAAAAAAACATTCTAGGGCACCTTTAAGGCATAAATAAATGTTTTTCAAGGAAACAACACTTAAATATGTAATTTTTGTGATCAAATATGAATTTTAAGTGATAAAATGATTGAGTGTAAGAATATTTAATCTCATTATTGCTATAAATGGTGCTGAGAACAACCCTTTACCACGGTGAAATCACAGTAATACACATCCACTCGTTGATTATTACTTTTACTGACAGCAGTGTTCAATAAACAGCTACATTTATTAGTATTAATGATTAATCAGTGTATATGCTTTGAGTAATCAATGATAATTCTTCTATTTATGTTTAAAGTTAATAGTTCTGGAAAACAATGTTCATACTTATATCTCATCTACGTTCCTAAACTGAAGCTTATATTGACCCAAGAACTCATTTCAGTCAACAAAATACAAATTACAGATGTGACCAAAACCAGTTCCTTAAACTGCAAATAAAAATAAATAAGGCAAGAGGGGAAGTGCACATGCTCTTCTTCCTGTTTTAATCCGAATGTTTCATTTCCTAAAGACATAAAGCTCTTTGTGTGGATGCAGAAGCTTCTCCTACAGAAGATCTGTTGTCCACACGCCAGGACTGAAGACATGAGAACACAAGCTGTCTTTACATGGACAGAGGAACTCAAGTCTGACTTTAGACTGCATTAAGGGGCGAGCGATGATGTCACTGACCTCACACACACATCATGATGGATGTTTCCGAGACGTGTTTGACATCTCAGTATTAATGTCTCACACTGACAGCGAACAAAGTGATTTCTGCACTGAGCATTTGCTTCAACAACAAACTTCAGTTATAAAATAGTTTCCAGAAGTTGGCCAGTGAGAATTATTACATCATCAGGTTTTGGAACTGGTCTAAACTAGTTTCAGCTTTAAAGACAGCATTACATCTCGAACATATTCAACTGAGCTTTACTCACAACCAAGCAATTATGACTGAAATCACATCCAACAGGGAATGATCTGGCAAGGTTATGAACAAACGCCACATTAATAAAACCTTCCGTTAAAGTTATCTGGTCTTTAATAATATTCTCAAAACATTTATACGTCATTCATGGAACATTTTTGTCTGAAATGATTTAGCCGGGCGTTTTTTAAATGTTACTGCTTGTTTTGGAACGTTCAGAGAAATTCAAAAGTAACATTCTCATAATGTTTGCAGAATGATGCAATGGAATGTTCCCTATAGATTACAATCGTCCGTTCCGAGAACATTCCGAAATAACATTTTCATAACTTAGTGGGAACGTTAACTAAATGTTCTTAGAACATATTTTTGTTTCTCTCTCACACTCACACACACTCTTGTACTCACTCACTCACTCACTCACTCACTCACTCACTCACTCACACACTCACTCACTCACTCACTCACTCACTCACTCACTCACTCACTCACTCACTCTCTCTCACACTCACTCACTCACTCACTCACTCACTCACTCACTCACTCACTCTCTCTCACACTCACTCACTCACTCACACACTCACTCACTCACACACTCACTCACTCACACACTCACACACTCACTCACTCACTCACACACTCACTCACTCACACACACTCTCTCTCACACTCACTCACTCACTCACACACACACACACTCACTCACTCACTCACTCACTCACACACTCACTCACTCACACACTCACTCACTCACACACTCACTCACTCACTCACACACTCACTCACTCACACACACTCTCTCTCACACTCACTCACTCACTCACTCACACACTCACTCACACACTCACACACTAACTCACGCTCACCCACTCACTCACTCGCTCACTCGCTCACACACACACACGCTCACTCGCTCGCTCACTCGCTCACTCACTCACTCACTCACTCACTCGCTCACTCGCTCACACACTCACACACTCACACACTCACACACACACTCACTCACTCACTCACTCACTCACTCTCTCACTCACTCACTCACACACTCACTCACTCACACACTCACTCACTCACTCACACACTCACTCACACACTCACACACTAACTCACGCTCACCCACTCACTCACTCGCTCACTCGCTCACACACTCACACACTCACACACACACTCACTCACTCACTCACTCACTCTCTCTCACACTCACTCACTCACTCACACACACACTCACTCACTCACTCACTCACACACTCACTCACACACTCACTCACTCACACACTCACTCACTCACACACACACTCTCTCTCACACTCACTCACTCACTCACACACTCACTCACACACTCACACACTAACTCACGCTCACCCACTCACTCACTCGCTCACTCGCTCACACACACACACGCTCACTCGCTCGCTCACTCGCTCACTCGCTCGCTCACTCGCTCACTCACTCACTCGCTCACACACACACTCACTCACTCACTCACACACTCACTCACACACTCACACACTAACTCACGCTCACCCACTCACTCACTCGCTCACTCGCTCACACACACACACGCTCACTCGCTCGCTCACTCGCTCACTCACTCACTCACTCACTCGCTCACTCACACACATTCACACACACACTCACTCACTCGCTCGCTCACTCACTCGCTCGCTCACTCGCTCACTCACTCACTCGCTCACTCACTCACTCGCTCACTCGCTCACTCACTCGCTCACTCCCTCACTCACGCTCACTCACTCACGCTCACTCGCTCGCTCACTCACTCACTCATGCTCACTCGCTCGCTCACTCACTCACTCACTCACTCACTCACTCACTCACGCTCACTCACTCGCTCACTCACTCACTCACTCGCTCACGCTCACTCACTCACTCACTCGCTCACACACATTCACTCGCTCACTCACTCACTCACTCACTCACTCGCTCACTCGCTCACTCACTCACTCGCTCACTCGCTCACTCGCTCACTCACTCGCTCACTCCCTCACTCACGCTCACTCACTCACGCTCACTCACTCACGCTCACTCGCTCGCTCACTCACTCACTCATGCTCACTCGCTCGCTCACTCACTCACTCACTCACTCACGCTCACTCACTCGCTCACTCACTCACTCACTCGCTCACGCTCACTCACTCACTCACTCACTCGCTCACACACATTCACTCGCTCACTCACTCACTCACTCGCTCGCTCACTCACTCACTCACTCACTCGCTCACACACATTCACTCGCTCACTCACTCACTCACTCACTCACTCGCTCACTCACTCACTCACTCACTCACGCTCACTCACTCGCTCACTCACTCACTCACTCGCTCACGCTCACTCACTCACTCACTCGCTCACACACATTCACTCGCTCACTCACTCACTCACTCACTCACTCGCTCACTCGCTCACTCACTCACTCGCTCACTCGCTCACTCGCTCACTCACTCGCTCA